ATGCATCACCAGCTATTACCACCATTGATTAAGGCTTCCTGTGGTCCTGGGCTGCCTGTTACTCCATCCGTCACAGACACACGGCTCACACGCAGCGGTATATCATGCTCTCTTCGTGCCTTACGGTTATGTATTTTTCAATCTATGTCGCGTACCCTCTAAGTACAGGTGCCTGCCAGAACTCCAGAACCTTAGCGTGCCACAGCAGTGAGCAAACAGATGCACGGTGCCCTTCTCTGACTAACCCATCCCGAGCCTAGGAAGCCTGCCTCCTTGCCCCTCGTTCTGAAAAAATGCGAATGTAAACAATCAGCAGTGCGCCTAATTGAGACTTGAGGCCGGGAGGAAAGCGCCACCACTTTACACCCACTCATCAACATTTCGGATTGAACCCAAAGACCCCAAACCCAAATTCTTCAGCACCTCCTTCATCAAAGTGGCAGAATCCAGACCTGGTGGGAATTTTCTAGAATCAGCTGCTTTCTCCATATTTCTCTATCTAGACCACCTCCTCCTGGTGGCATTTTTGGTTCACTTCTGGCACTCCCCATAGGCAGTCCCTGCTGGTGTGTGCAGCAGGCGCTCTCACGGCTAGGCCGTTGGGTCTTGGGCAAGTCAGTGAATCTGGGGACAGCCAGCCTTCATCTGAGACTCAGAAAGGAGCCCGCGTTTCCTCCCAATTCGAGAATCTGCACGTGCACGCTCTCATTGAGGGAATATCAGGCTATTGCAAAACACGGATCAGTGAGGTGTCAGGCGGACCCTCAGCACTTCCGCCTCCTATCTGTGGAAAGTCCCTCTGCTGACTTCCGTCCCCCTTCCGCTACTGTCCATTTGTCTGCCTTTTCCCACCAGAATTCTCTTCCACTGCCTTACTTCCCATCCTCTTGCTTTCATTCTATTTTTTTTAACTTCAGAGCGCAGGAGTGCACTTTTGCTGTGATGAGTCCAATAGCACAGAAGTGTGTAAAGAAGGCAGCCTTCCCCCCAACCCATGGGCCAGAGGAAGCCGGACGAGACGGCACATGCAGCTGGCCAGCTGACTTGCGCTTCTGGGAACCACACAGACAGGCACATTTGGGGTTTTCTCCCATGTCTTTCTTTTTTAAAGATCAACTTGGGACTTTTTTCACATGCATGTTATTCTGCAGTTTGTTTTATTCACTTCACAATATCACATGGACTTTGTTTTAGACCCTTGCATGAAGCTCTAATTCTAAAATAACCTCATTATAACCCAAAGCATGGAAAGGCCATTGTATTATTGCCCAGACCTCTGTTAGGGGTCATTGAGGTTGTAGCCAGGTTTTTATTTTGTTTTGTTTTGTTTTGTGTTCATTCTGACATTTTTACTTCAGAAGGCTTGATTTTTCAAAGCACATTCCCTGCAGCTGAGGGCATGTGTATTTTAGATTTTAATGGCTTCTTTCAGATGACTTTTCTAACAGGGTTTATGTCTTCACGCCGTGGATGGCCCGCTTTCCTGCGTCCTTGTCCGCACTGCACGCCATCACCCCTTCATAGGTCTGCCTGTCTGACATCTCACACAAGGGCGTCCCACTGTTGTCAGGTCAGCCTTCCCCTGACCCTGCTGAGGAGAGTCTTCATGTGGGACACGGGCTTCGAATATCACAAAGCCCACCTCCAAGTGGCTGAGATAGAAAGATTTGTCATCTCACCAAACAGAAGTCAGGGGAGCAGAGCCAGCGTTCCCTGCCACCCTCAGGATGTCTGTGGCTTCCCCTGTAGTCACAGGCGAGACAGCTGTGCAGTCTGTGGGGCCTCGCCCTGTCATGACAGTGTCCCGGGCAGGGGGGACACGGTCTCCTGTGTGACTCTCCCGGGAGCCCCCTGAAGACCACCCTCTTGCCCAACTGGCTAAAGCTGAATCCTAAGCCCATGGGTATAGATTGATCATTGGCAAAGGGACCGGGACCAAGGAGACTGGTACGGATGGCTGTGACCTTCTGGCATTGCGGGGCGGGGGGGGAGGTGGGGGGGCACCACGACTGTGTAGGTATGCCCTGACATCGTCCCAGCCCTGACACACAGCCCCCCCCCACACACACACACACGGTTCCAGCGCCCTCTGGTTATGCACCACTGGTTTACACCTTCTGGGGCTGAGAACAGCCTTCCTTCCCTGGAGTGGTGACTTCAGGGGCGGGGCAAGTGGATAGGCCCAGAGAACAGCAGTCTGCCACCTGTGCATGGGTGAACTTGACCCCGAGTGAAGGGAGTGTCATCTCATTACATGTGGCATTTCAGGTCAGGACACTGCCGCCCTTCTCACCCCCGTTCTCTGCAGATCAGAAGGACTGGCTGTGTGACTGCGAGTCCGATGCCCTCTCGGCAGTTTATTCTGTGGATATTGGCCTGGTCTTGTTTTTTCTCTCTTTCCTTGGGCTAACTTCGATCATTTATGTTTTGGTACAGAATCATCCGTTTTCTCTAGGCCTTCCAGTTAACTTCCATAATGTTTTCTCGCAGTTTGCAAAACTCCCCGGGGCTTGGTTCTTGCTTTTTGCTGTCCTAACGTGGTGTATTGTGTTTCGCTCTGACGTAGCCACTGCTGTGGCCAACCCAAACCCATTCTCCCCCTCCTGATGGACAGAACCCAGCAATGTGCCAGCTGGAGCAACACATTCCTGCCTCCCCTGCAGCCACGTGTGGCCCCGGGACAAAGTTCTGAGGGCATCTGGGAGTGTCTTGCTTTCTACCTCGATGTAGCTTTCCTCTTTTCCTCCCTGGAACACAGAACGCGCCCAGAGGACGGATAACCCCAGCTCTGTTGTGAGGCTGAAGTCACACGGCCAGCCGGGTGTGGATGTCCGTCCCTATGGCCACACCCCAGCCTCCACTGTCCACCTCTGAATGGGGGCACGGGGGAAACAATAAACATGTCACTAGTCCAGCTAAGGCACTGCTCCCCAATCTCAGGCGGGCAGAGGCGGGTCCTAGCTGACACAATCTCTTTTTTCCCTATTGGGCCTCTCACGGATTTATCAACCTTTTTTCCCCCCAAACACTCAACTTTGTTTGCTATGTGATTGATGTTAGCTTTTAATCTTTAGTAGTTTCCTCCTACTTACTTTTGATTTAATTAATTATTTTATATCTATTTTAGCAAGAAACTCACCTGAGTTTACAGAATTTCCTTTGGTTTATTCCTTATATTTCATATACTGTTATCTACTTTCTATACTACTTACTTTTTAGGTAATGTGCTGTTTGTCTTTTAACTTTCTTTTAATTTGAGCCTTATTGAGAAATACCTTTTCACTTCCAAATGGTTATGTTTCCTTTTGGAATGTTTTGTTATCAATTTCTAGACATCCCCTCTTTAAAAAACAAACTTTGGGGATCAAATACATGGTGATAGAAAGAGAACTGACTCTGGGTGTTGAACACACAATGTGATATATAGATAATGTATTACAGAACTGTACACCTGAAATCTATATAACTTGACTAATAATTATCACCCCAATAAACTTTATAATAAAAAAGCTTTGGGAGAAAAATAATTTAAAAAAGCAAATTTTGGGATCTCATTGCTATTAAAGGTGCATAGTCTCACCAGACCTGTTTAGCAGAACAGCTGCCTCTGCCAGGGTCCCCTGTCCCCCCAGAGCCCCCCTATCCCTCTCCAGGGCCGCCCCCTCAATAACTCTTGAGCTGATGACTTGTTATTGAATTCCACAATTCTGAATAACATGCTTCTGCTTATGGAATTTTGTTTTCTAATTTAGGCCCCATCTGTTGACTTAGCCTTCGGAGGATGAAGGCTCAGCGTCTTTCTCCCCCCACTTCCACGGCCAACCTCCGCCTCACCTCCCCCTCCTCCTAACTGAACCATGTTCTGTCTGTCCTGGAGTCAAGATGCCAGAACATCTTGATCACGTTATTATGGCGATGCAAAAGAAACACACAGCTAAGTCAGGAACTCTTCTGCGATTACTTTTTTATTTCCTGTACCGTTTTTTATTTTTCCTGAGTTAACCATCCTACTTTGTTGTTGTTGCAGATGGTCAGGGCAGGCCGAGGAGCTTAGCTCACAGGATTTAGCTCTGGGGAAAGGCAGGATCAGTTGTGCGCGTGGGGGGAGAACCAGACCCGGCTCAGCACCAAAACACGGCAGTGACCACGGGGGATGGACAGTCGGGGGGGAGGGGGGGTTAGGGTGGCGAGGCTGGAACTTGAGAGGAATTGGATAAAAGATGGGCTTCGATTACTGCTGATGCTCTGGTGTTCCTGCCTCTAGGAAGGGTGTGTGCTTAGGTGAGGTGAGCCCCACGGCAAATCTGAGTGGGTTCCAGAGTCACCACAAACAGAGACGTTAGGAAAGGACCAGGATGGAGGCAGCCCTGCAGGGAGCGCAGGCTCTGGGGACGGGCCCGTTCTGCGGGCAGGCTGGTCCCGGAGGCAAGTCGGTTCTAGAAGCGGGTCGTGGAAGTCAGACGATTCTGGAAGCAGGTTGGGGAGGCGGGTTCCGGGGGGCAGGACGACGGGCCGTGCAGACGGCACCGGGACTGGGGTCAGGCAGGAGCCTGGGTCTCCGAGACAAGAGAAAAAAGCGGGCATTGTTTAACAGCTCGCACCAGCGGTCGCTCTAACAAAACCGTTAAAAAACCCCATTGTGAACATTTTTGGACGAGCCCCTTGGAGGGTCCCTGTTGCCGGGGGATGGAAAAGAACTTCGCGGCCGCAAACGTGGAGTCCGCACCGGGAGCTGCGCGCGGAGGCGCGCCAAGGCGGTCTGGACTTGGCACTGTTTGGGAGTTTCGCGTTTCGCGTTGTTTTTTCCTTTTTCCCTAACTTTGGCGAACGCCGCGCGGCCTCCGGCGCATGCGTATTTCGGGGCCCCGCGCCTGCCGCTCCGCGTCGGGCCAGGCGGTTGCCAGGGGTGACCGCATTCCCCCAGGACTCTGCGGGCGGAGTCGCCGCTGCCACCGACTGGGCAGCGGCAAGTTTCGCACGCTCGGCGCTGGGCGCAACGCCCCTCCGCCGGACTCGGCGCGCCACCCGGGAGCAGAGGGACAGTGCGGGACCCAGCGCGGCGCCTGGGAGGGACCTGCGCGGGCGTCGGCTTCCAGGCGGGCGCGGCCCCAGAGGCGGGCGACGATGATCCCCGAGGACCGGCGGGACGGCCCAGGTGCTGGTGAGGAGCGCGCACAGCTACAGGCGGCTGGCAGCGTCCGCAAGGTGGGCGCGCCTGCGGGGCCCGGGCGCCCCGAGCCTCCGGCACAGGGCTGCGGGGCCAGCGTTGCTTCTCCCGTCCGAAAGCAATGCCAGACTCCCGGGGGTCCCCTCCCACACTTTGCTCGCCCCAGGAGGCAAACTGGGCGTACCACTGGGGAAACTGAGGCTCGGCGGAGGGCCGGAGCCCGCGTTGCCTGCCTGTGCTAGCTCCTCTCTCGGGGTCACTTGCGTGGAAGAGGCTGCAGTCCCCTCCTGTGCGGCCCAGGAGTCGGGGGAGCGCGAGTCCAGCTCACAGTTTTCTCGACGCTCAGGGGTCCCTTCTCTGGTACGTGTTGGGCTCTGGGCTGTGACCGTCGGGGCTCTCGACGGTGTTTCTGCGCCTGTCACTCCTCCTTTCCCGGCTTTTCCCTCCCGCTCCCCAGGGCTGTGCAGCTTTGCCCTGGGCACTCAGCTCTGTAGTTGGTGAAACTTTGAGCTGCAGGCGAGAGAAGGCTCTGAGGTGCAGGAAATGGCTGGAGGGTTTCACAGCTGGAGAGTTTATCCTTTGTCACTTACCCACACCTTTACCCCGTTGTGAAGTCCCTAATCCCCGGCGCTGACTGTGGACTATGGACCATTTCCAGGAGGACTGGGGAAGCTCTGGAAGGGTGTTGGGGGTGGAGACCTTAGGAGTCTGTTGTCTGGGAAAGGGGGTGCTCTGGCCGCCTCCCTCTGTAGCTCAGAGGCCCTGTGTCCCCTGTGGGTCACATCGAGGCTGCCTCAGTGTTCACACCAGGCTTTGGGCGTCCATGCCCCCAGGGGCATTCAGTTTGGTTCCACCAAGCAGTGGTGGCACCTGCGCTGCAATGCTGCCTCACCCCCCTTCCCTCGCCCATGTCAGACTGCACAGTGGACCCAGCTGCTCTATTCAGCTTTTGTGCCTGGGGCCCAGGCCTTCAGGGAGGAGTAGTGGGGTGTCACTTGGGACATGGACTCCAGGTTACTGGCCATGTGATGCTGACCAGACCCCTGAAAGGGAAGGCTCCTCCCTGCTCACCCTCAAGAGACGCCAGGTGCTGCAGCTGGTATGTGAGGGGACATGGTGGCCCGTGGTCCCTCAGAGTGGGACTGGAGAGAGAGAAGGCCTGTTGCCTGCCCTCTGTGAACTCACTTCCTTGCAGGGCAGCCAGGCCTGCAGGTGGCCTTTGGAGAGAGCATGTGTTGTTTTGGGCAGAATGTTTGGAGGGTTGCTCACACAAGCTGTTGCAGAGGGCCCAGTGGACACTTTCAGGAGCTCTGCCCAGCTACCACCCTGGGAAGGGGGCAGATACTGTTTCCAGCCATCATCCTGATTTGTGTCCCTGTGCTGGGAGCTGGTGGGTGGGGCATGGACCCCAGCCCTGCACTGCCCTGAGTGACACTCTGCACACCCTCGCATGCTCCTTTGTTCTGTTTCCCAGGTGGTTCTTGCCACCTGGAAAGCCTAACCTGACCCCTGCCACTGGGCTGGAGTGAGGCTGGCCCCTATACTGGCTATAATGCTCAGAGCCAGGGCAGGACCAGTTGGTTAACCATTCCCGTGAAAGCCACGCCGGGGTCCAAGGCCCCTGTGGACCAGTGTGGGTGATGTGTCTCCGCCCCAACAGTAATGAGTGGGTGTCCAGTGGGCACCCATCTGGCCCTGGTGTGCAGTCGGGGCTTGCTAGCACGGAAGAGCAGCTCAGCCCACTTAGAAGGGGCTCTGGGAGTGGGGCCTGCCTGAAAGTGGCCAGGAGCCAGCAGTGCCTAAGTGACTATCAGAAAGGGCAGGGTGGTGTCACTTGGCTGGCCTGAGGGCCCGATCTGTGGTCTACCTAGCACATGTGTGGTTGGAGCCCCTGTGTCCTGGCAGCAGTTTGGCGGAGTGGCAGAGGTGGCAGAGGTTAGAGGGGGCAGAGGGGGCTGGGCTTCCACCTTCCGGGGGCATCCAGTTCCTCTGTGTTCAGGTGAGATTGTGGGAGGGGCGGGGAGGGGTCCCTCAGGCTGGTGGGTGCTGGCAGGCAGAGCCGGGGGCTCTGAGAGGAGGAAGCTGGCCTGCCAGGCATGGGGGCCTCTCCCTGGGAACCGACAGAAGCCAGGGAAGCTTGGGGAGGGTGTGGGGCCCTTGCTGTTTGTCCCTGGCCTGTGCTGGCGTAACCATCTCCCCACTTTCCCAGTCTGGCCGCCGCCCATGCCGTTTCCTCCTGAGCCGCTGGGGGCCATTGGCCTGGGGCTTCCAGGCAGCCAGAGCCGCAACAGTGAGGGTGTGGGGGGTCACCTTTCCGTTCTCCACCCCTTCCCACCCAGGCTGGGTTTCCGGGTGGGGGAAATTGTGCCACCAGCGAATGTGATTACCACGTCTGTGCCCCTCCCTGCGGGGAGATGCACTCACCACGGGCCCAGCATCACCCAGTGGGGACAGCAGGCGTTGCTCGCTGCCACGCCTCTCCACCCAGGTCACTCCAGCAACCTGGTCTCCTAGATGGAACACTGGGGTCAAGAGGCCATGAGGAGGGCTGCACAGAGTGGACCCAGCTGGGAGGCTGTGGCTCTCCCCACTCCCGACTCGTCTCTCCGGGAGCACTCAACACCGGAAACCAAATGAACCGTGTTAGTGAGGGCAGCGCTGCTGAGCCGGTGGCCTCTGCCCAGCGCAGGACCACCCCCTCCCGGAGCAGACAGCCATGGCTGCTCACCCAGAACCTGGGAGCCTGCTGGAGGTTTGCAGTCAGACCTTCGGAGGAGAGCGATGTAACTTTGACTGTGGCCTGCCCCTGCCTCCCCAGATTCTCAGCCTGGAAGGGAGACTGCCCACGTCCTCGACTCATCCCCTCCTGCACAGAGTGAGCATGGGGGGCGCCTCAGAGCAGAGGCTCAGGCCAGCAGGAAGACAGACACCGAGCCAGCAGAGTGCAGGGAGGAGAGATGTGCTCTGTCTCGTTCCCTCCTGGTGCCGCCCTGAAACCAGCCCCTCTACCACCTACAGATGAGGCCTGCCAGGGTCCCACAGCAGGGCGTCCTCTGTTGTTCAGTGGGGACAAGACCCTTCTCCCCAGTTACCTAAGGATCACTTGGCAGCCTCCTGTCCTCAAGCCCCAGAAGAGTGCCTCCTTCTACAAGAAGTCTCCCCTGATTGACCTCTCTTGAGAACACTGGAATCTGGAGGAGAAGCCATCCAAGGTCGCCGTGTGCCAGCCATGGGTGTGAAGCCTTCTTTAGGGAGTCCCCTATGAGGGGCTGGGACAAGCTAGAGCCCCCAGAGGGTCTGTAACTGCCCTGTGTGACGGTGAGGGGCGTACCAAGGAAAATAAGCTGGCTCCTCAGATATGCGGAGGACAGGAACCACTGCAGGAGGCCGAGGTCAGCTCTGCGTGAAAAAAACCTTCCTCCCATCCATGCCATTGGGGCAGCGTCCCGTGAGGCAGTGTCCCCATCCCCACTCTGTCCAGGCGCCAGGTGAACGCTTGTGGGGACATTGATGAGGGGAGGTACATTCTGAGAAGTCCTTCCTGACTTGTGGGCTGGTGGAGCCAGACGGGAATTCCCTAAGTGGCTAAGCGGGGACATGGTGGTCCCAGCTGGGGCCCTGAAAGCCTTTCCCACTCCGACTCCCTCACCAGCTACTGCAGAAGCCTCTCACCCTCCCTGGCCGGAGCCTCTGGTCACCCACCCCATCACCACAGCCAGGAACACGCCTATCGCTGCTTTAACCTGGGGCTCCGAAACACGGGCAGGCTGGCGTGATTGCCCACATGTGGTGAGGAGCTGCTGCTGAGGTGGTCAGTGGGCAGCCAGGAGGCCTGGCCTGCTGCCTGTGAGCTGAGTGACCCCGGGCCTGTGGTTTGGGCATTTGCCAAAGGGTCCCCACAAGTCAGCAGCCAACTGGGACAGAGCCCAGCGCAGAGTCAGCGTGGGCCAAGCGCTGCAGGAAGCGGTGGGCCGGAGAGCCAGCCTCCAGCATGTGCAGGCCCCTGGGTGCACCCTCACCCCATCCCCGCCCAGGCGTAACTGTACTAGAAGAGCTGTGTGAGTGGGGTGGGTCCTGGGGGCTCCAGAGCGAAACTCCAAAACGCAGAAGGACGTGTGAGGAGCAGCTGGCCGCCCCTATCCGGGGCTCCCATCACCGTGCCTCTGGGCCCCACAGAACCCACCCAGCTTCCTCCTGGGGCCCCAGCCCCAGCATGTCCCCCACCCGCCATGTCCCTCCTGGCCTGACAACGCCCCACTTCCCTCCTTCCTGGCGTCACCCGCTTTGCCCAGACTCCGTGCTTGTGCACCCCAGCCGGGTGGTCCCCACAGGTGAGAGTACCCTGGTCCAACTTCAGGGCCGCCGCCGCTCACAGGGGCGGCCCGGCCCGTGACCTGCGGCCTCTCCACAGGGCTGTGACACCCTGGCGGCACAAACACCGTGTGGCCGCCTGCAGAGCCACAGGGCCCGGATCCACCAGCAGATCAACAAGGAGCTGCGGATGCGGACGGGGGCCGAGAACCTCTACAGGTGAGTGCCGGCCGCCTGGGAACTTCCGAGAGCCAGGCCCACGCCGGGTAATGGGGCAAGGTGGTGACCGCGTGGTGCCTGCCCTCGTGGTCCAGTCTGGGAGAGGGACACGTGAGCAGGTGACCGTGGCCAGCAGGCTCCCGCTGGGTTCTGGGGCCCTCAGCCGAGGCCTCACAGACAACCCAGGCCCCCACCTGGTAGACCTTACTGGCAGTGGTCTGCTCACGGCCAGCCGGGTTCCATGCTGGGCTGGAGCAGAGCTGGAGGGGGTGTTCGTGCCTGTGCGCGATGTGGGAGCCTCTCATATGCCTGTGGTGACCAGTGGAGGCTTCTTAGAAGCAGCACTGCTTAGGCTGAGGTGTAGCAGGTGACCAGTGTCCCTCCTCCAGACTGAGGAGGCCCCTCTCCCTTAGAGCATGTGAGCTGCGTGTGTGCTCTGACCTTCACACACACCTCCCTGAGCCCACTGTATGGGTGATGGCCCGAGCCACGGCCAGTGAGCACACAGCCAGCCGGGGCGCCAGGACGAGGCTCTGCTGGACCGAAAGAGCCCCTCCTTTTCCTTAGCAGCCCAGCCTCCCTGTCTCCCTCATCCCTGTCCCCAGCCTGGCCTTCCTAAGAACCCATGGCCCTTCTGCCCTCCACCTAGATGCAGGCAAAGGGAGGGTCTGACCCCACCCGTCCAGGGAGTTGGTGTGGAGTGTCTGCGGAGGGCACAGCCTGAGCCCTGGGGAGGGAGAGCTGTCAGAGGGCACAGCCTGGGCCAGAACCGGGATATGCACACATCGATGGGGGTCTACATGAACCTCAGGGACTCAGGAGAAGGGCAAGGTCCCCTCTGGTGGCCCCTGGGGCTGGGCGTGGCTGCGGCGTGCCCCGGGGGCATGTGGCCCACCTGCAGGGCTAGAGCTTCACCTCAGCCTGGCCTCCCCAGAGCCACCAGCAATGCCAGGGTCAGGGAGACGGTGGCCCTGGAGCTGAGCTACGTCAACTCCAGCCTGCAGCTGCTGAAGGAGGAACTGGAGGAACTCAACTGCAGCGTGGACGCGGACGTGCCTGAGAGGTGTGTGTGCGTGCGGGAGAGGTGCATGTGGAGGTGCGTGTGCCTCGGGACACAGGACACAAGCAGGCAGGGTAGGGGGTGGGCTCCATGGCCATAGGGGACAGCCTTGAAGCCTGGACTCAATGTTTCTGGTTCTAGGGAAGGTACCACTGTCCCCATGATCCCCCTGGGGCTGAAGGAGACCAAGGAGCTGGATTGGTCCGCCGCCCTGAAGGTGAGCGCTGGCCTGTGAGCCCTGGGGCCGCAGGGGCCTGGCCTTGCCCTGGGGGCTGAGGGGATCTTGGAGGCTTCCTAGTCCAGCCGTCTTATTGAACAGATGAGGAAACCGAGGCCCAGAGGGAGAAAGGGTCTGACCTGAGGAAGGCCAGCCTCCCAGGCTCTGGGGGATTCTCACTGGGTGGGCTTTGAAGAGTCCACCCTGGGGAGGGTGTGGCAGAGCTGGGCACCCTGCTGAAAGCCCCAAGGTGGCTATGGGGTCCTCGCACTCTCACTCTGAGGGTCCCGTTGGCTGGGGGCGGCCTGCTCCAATCGGAACCTGTATTGTGAAAACCCGCTGGTTCCCAGGGTCCTCGTGGGGGCTCAGGACCAGGCTGTGGGGGGGGGGGGTTGGCGGCTTGCCACTGCCCCACGGCCCGGCGGACAGGTGCCTCAGTGTCCTCATCTGTCAGATGGCACACAGCACCTGTCCCACGTGGCTCATAAGGGAATTAGAGTAGAAACAGCCCTGAGTCTCTCGGCCCACATCTGGGGTGGTGGGGGATCGATCCCCAGGGCCAGAGGTGGGACCCGCATCAGTCCCTCTCGGGGGGCCAGGGCCTGTCCCCACTGTGGGCTGGGGACTCCAGGGAAGGCCAGCGCATGTACCCCCACCCCCTCCCCCCAATCAGGAGCTGATCTCTGGACACTTTGGAGAGGACGGCGCCTCCTATGAGACGGAAATCAGGGAGCTGACAGACCTGCGGCAGGTGGGCTGGCCCTGCCCACCTGTCACGCCCACCTGCCGGCCCTGGAGTCCACCCCGCCCCAACCTGGAGTCAGGAACAGAAAAATGGAGCTCAGTGTAGATATTCACACTGCAGGAGTCCCCACTTTGGGGCAGTTTTGGGGACAGTGGGTACACACGCATACTGTGCGTGTGGGGTGCTGCTGGCCCTTTGGAATGGCTGCCCCGTGCCTGCCCCTCCCCAGAGACCCTGCCTGGACCTCTTGCCCCAGAGCTCTCCCTCTCATGTGCCCTCCACAGCGTCCTGGGGTGGCATGCATGGCCCATGACAGCCCAGGGACGGCAGATGGTCCCCAGTGTGACCCTGTCCACTCTCGACCCTGGGGTGCTCCCATGGGGCTGTGATATCTGAGGGGCTCCCAGGGTGGTGTGCGTGCTGTGCGGTGGGTCCAGCAGGTTGCTGCCCCACAGGCCATGCGGACCCCCAGCCGGAGTGAGTCGGGCCTGGAGCTGCTCACAGCTTACTACAACCAGCTCTGCCTCCTGGACGCACGCTTCGTCACCCCTGCCCGGAGCCTGGGGCTGCTCTTCCAGTGGTAGGGGTCTAGGCGAGCAGGGTGCCCTGGGCCCCGCCATCCTCCCGGGGGCAGTGGCCTCCCCTGTCCACGCCCCATGTCTGAGACTCTGGCTTGTTGCCTTGGAACCCCACTCAGCCCTCCCCAACCCCGCAGGTATGACTCACTCACGGGGGTCCCGGCCCAGCAGCGGGCGCTGGCCTTCGAGAAGGGCAGCGTGCTCTTCAACATCGGAGCCCTCCACACCCAGATCGGGGCGCGCCAGGACCGCAGCTGCCCCGCGGGCACCAGCCGAGCTGCAGAGTCCTTCCAGAGGGCTGCTGGTGAGGGTAGCCCAGACCCCAGACCCATGGCCACAGGCAGGGTGCATTTGTCTGCCTGTTCCAGATGCCAGCTGTTCTCTGGGGCTGGAGCTGGGGGGTGGGTAGGACGTCCCCCTCCCATGCCAGGGGCTAAGCCTGAGGGCCCTCTAGGCACAGGGGTGCTGACGGGTGTGGGGCAGCCCTTCCACACCCGCCCTGAGCACACCCTTTGTAGGGGCCTTCAGCCTCCTGAGGGATAAATTCTCCCGCGCGCCCAGCCCGGACATGAGCCCCGCCTCACTGTCCATGCTGGAGCAGCTCATGACCGCCCAGGCCCAGGAGTGTGTCTTCGAGGGCCTTTTGCTACCATCCCCTGCGGCGCCCCGTGACTGTGTGGCCCAGCTGCGCCTGGCTCAGGAGGCCGCCCAGGTGAGGACAGGGAGCCCCTAGTCTGGTCCTGGCCAAGCTCCAGTGGTTCAGTGGGCAGGAGTGCCTGGACCAGGGGCTTAGGCTGGGGCCAACGGGCAGAGCTGGGGGCAGAGGTGGCCAGTGTCTGGACTGTGTGTGTGTGCGCAGTGGCCGTATCTCCTATTGTTCCACAATCCAGCTGTTGTCCTGGTCCCTGTGGGCCCCGCCTCAAGGACAGCGCCAATCAGAGCAGGAACTGGGGGCACAGACCATGAGGCAGTCATGGGGCGCAGCTTAGGGTGTGGGGCAGGGTCCCAGGGCGGGGCCTGGCTGGGTTTGTCTTGGAGTCCTTCAGGAGGCCCCATGGTCCTGCTCTGTGTGCCTGCAGGTGGCAGCCCAGTATGAGCTGGTGCACCAGACCATGACCCAGCCTCCCGTGTGCAGCTATGTGCCCTTCCCCTGGACCACATTGGTGCACGTCAAGGCCAAGCACTTCCGTGCCCTGGCCCACTACCACGCGGCCGTGGCCCTCTGTGACAGCCCCCGTGAGTGCCCCGCCCCTTGAGCCTGTGTGCCGGCAGAGGCCCTGGTGCGGAGGGACTCACAGCCTTCTCTGACCCCCAGAGGCTGAGGCAGAGCTCCTGGCACTGGAGCAGGTGTTCCTCAGGCCCCTGCCCCCATCTGAGCCCCGCGGCCCCATGCTGCCACAGGAGCGTGAGGAGCGCAGGAAGCTAGGTGAGCAGCTGGAGGAGGGTGCTAAATGGCCCACCCACCATCGTTCAACGTTATTCACAAGTCGCCTCTTCTGGGCACACCTGCTGTCCCAAGGCTGGCAGGTGGGGTAGCCACCTGGCAGGTGGAGGCATCCAGATGCCTCCTGGATGCCCCCATCTGGTGGGTGACGGCCAGAGCAGGGGCCCGAGCAGCTCTGGCAGCCTTCTGGGCAGGTGGGGGCACACATGGGAGGCTTTTCCCTGGCCCAGCTGCCCACGCCTGGCAGCCCTCCTGGACCAGCCAGTGGACCCTCAGGATGAACTCAGAAGCCCTCTTGTTGCATCTGGAGGTGGGGGGAGCTGGGGCCCAGCCTGGAAGGGCCAAGTGGGCTGCGTGTGACAGCGTGTGCCGGCTGTGCCCATGCAGGCAAGGCCCACCTGAAGCGTGCCATCCTGGGGCAGGAGGAGGCGCTGCGGCTGCACGCCGTGGGCCGAGCCCTGCGCAGGCTGGACCTCCTGCAGGCTGTGTTGGGCCAGGCACTGCGGCGCTCGCTGACCAGATACTCGGAGCTGGACCTCGAGGACGATTTCTTTGAGGCCACCGAGGCCCCGGACATCCAGCGTGAGCAGCCAGGCCTCTCGGGACAGAGGGAGGGTGGTGGACTGAGACCCCTGCAGCTGATATGACAGGCGCAATCACTTTCCACAACCCACGGGGCTGGAGACCTGAGAGGAGGAGCAGGGAGCCCAGGGAAGCCCACACTGCATGCCCGTTGCTCCTGTGTCCCATCCACACACCGGATTCCTGCCCTGGGGTGGGGACAGGGGGCTGCAGCCTGGGAGACAGGTGCCTGCAGACCAGTCACTCAGCACCTGAGCTCCTGCAGCAGGAACCACCTGGGGCTCCTCCCTCTGGGGTGGGAGTGGGGGGTGCAGCCAGGCTCTGGATATCCAAGAAGGGCAGGTGTCACCACACTGCTGTAGCCGAGCACATCTGGGCTGTGTCCCAGGAGCCTGGGGGCCCATGAGCTTTGGGCTTAGCCCTGCCCCCCCTTCACCTTTACCCTTTCAGCTAAGACACACCGGAGGCTGGAGGTCAGGGCACCCAGCTTCTCCCGGGTGAAGGTGGCTGATATCTTCCACCGGCTGGTGAGCACCCCTTCCTTCCTGGGCCCTTCATTTTCATTGCCCCGGGCGAGACCCCAGACAGGCCCAGCATGGTGGCCCAGCTCTGCCTGGCACCTCATTGGTTTCTGCCCCAGGATGCAGACTTTGGGGTGGGGGTGTTACAGGCAGGGGCTCCTCCAAGAGAACTGCCCAGCCAGGCCTCTGACCTGTGCCGGCCCCCAGGGGCCCCTGTCTGTGTTCTCAGCCAAGAACCGCTGGCGACTGGTGGGGCCCGTCCACGTGACCCGAGGGGAGGGTGGCTTTGGCTTCACACTGCGGGGAGACTCGCCAGTCCTCATTGCTGCCGTCATTCCGGGGGGCCACGCTGCGGTAAGGGCCCCTGTCCTGCCTCCAGGGCCAAGTCTCTGGCTGAGTGCAGGAGGCTTAGCATGTAGGGGGAGACGGGACCTGTGGGCAGAGGCTGGAGGGTGTCTAGGAGGGGCTTCGGACCATCCCCATCTCCCCGCAGGCAGCCGGCCTACAGGAGGGCGACTATATCGTGTCAGTGAACGGGCAGCCATGCAAGTGGTGGAAGCACGCCGAGGTGGTGGCCCAGCTGAAGAGCGTGGGTGATGAGGGCGTGAGCCTGCAGGTGGTGACGCTGCTGCCCAGTGCTGAGCCGCCCAGCACAGTGAGCCCGGGGGGCCCTGGGAGGGTGGTCCTCGGCTCCCTTGTCCCGCCTTGGCCCTGGTCTTCCAGGCCCCAACATCCCCAGATGCTGTGAGGGCTTTGGGAAGGGGTGCTGTGACCCTCAGTGGGGCGGCTTCACCCAGTGGCCACTCCCTGCCCCTCAGTGGGCCTCCGTGTGCCCACACACCCAGAGGCTCCGGGCAGAGGTGCTGCCCCTGGAGCTTGGTCCCACGGCCTTCACCCACCCAGCACGGCACCCCTGACATGCCTCCAACACACTACCCGCCCCCTCCCCTCACACTCACCAGGCTGGCCACAGGTGGGCCAGGCCGGGGTGCTGACCCCTATGTGTCTCTGTCCTGACTTCAGGGGGACCGCCGGCCAGCCCTGCGGGGGCTTCTGAGGAATCAGAAGGAGTGTGGCTGGGGGACTTCAGTGCCTGCGCCAGCCAGCCCCAGGCCCCTCCTTGGCTGGAGCCGCAAGGCCAAAAGGGACAAGACTGGAGGGGGGTTGTCCCCAGCCGCCCATCCCTGAGCTGCACTGCCCTCACCCTCTGGGTGCCCAGGGAGCCAGTGAGGGGCAGGCTCCCCACACTCCTGGGCCCCAGCACAGGCTCCAGCTGGCTGGGAGCAGGGACACTGTGTCCTCCCCACCCCAGAGGACTTTCAGGTCAGTTTGCCGCTCAGCTCAGTGCCCGAGCTGCCCATTAAAGAGCGTGTCGGATGAGGTGTGTCTCAGGCCAGTGCGGGGGGCCAGCACTACACCCACACACAAGAAGTGTCACTGTCACCCTGGACACAGAGTCCCGGGGGCCGGGAGGCTGCCTCTGGGCTGCCCCGTCCTGCAGAGGGCAGCTTCCCAGGCCAGGAGGGGGGTGTCCAGCTGCTTGTCTTGGAGCCTGAAGTGGCCATCCCAGAGAGCTTGGGCAGGCTGGAGCGACGGGTCTGCAGTGGGTCCCTGCAGCCTGGATCCTCACTGCCCCCTCGGTAGGCTCCTGAGGTTCCCCCAGCTGGCCTGTCTTCCTCGTCCTGCCCCCCAACATGCCATACCCCTCCACACCCTCCCTCAGAGATGGTCTGCCCAAGCCAAGCTTCTGCTGGCACACAGTGGCACCCACCAGGCACCCCTCCAACCGGCCTGCCAGGCACCCCTCCAACCGGCCTGCCAGGCACCCCTCCACCGGCCTGCCAGGCACCCCTCCACCGGCCTCCCAGGCACCCCTCCACCGGCCTCCCAGGCACCCCTCCACCGGCCTCCCAGGCACCCTTCCACCGGCCTGCCAGGCGGGACGAGGCTCAGCTCCCTGCCTGGCTTCCAGGCCTCCTTGCCCTGTTCCTTCACATAGCAACCCCAGGTGCCCACTTGACCTCCGTTCCTCGGGGTAGGGTCCCAACAAGTCCCGCTCCTGCAACACCTGTTACTGCCCCTCTCTGTGCACAGAACAGGGACCCCTCATCCTGACATGGCCCTCCGTTTGCATCAAGGGCTTAGCTCTCATGCCAGCCCTGCACCTGCTGCCCGGTCTTTGTCCGTGATGTTCCCCCAAACCAGCCAGCCAGGCCCAGCAGCCCCGCCCCCTCCCTGTCCCTGCCTCGCCCTCATTCTGGCCGAGTCCCACCGCCTGGGCGCTGAGGCAGCTCCAGCTCTAGGGAAGATGGCCATGAGGCTATTTCATTCCCCTGCGACCAGGGCCAGCACTGAGGGACACCCCCAGCCCGCCCCGGGCCCTGTAGGGTGCCTTGCTCACGTCGCCCCTGCTGGCACCTGCTGGGCTCCTCAGTCTGTGAGCCCTCAGTGTCCCCGAGCTGCATACACGGCGGGACGGCCCCACAGGCCATTGGCGGGCACACTGACCGTGTCCCGTAAAGGGTGGCCCAGGACCTGGGCCCAAAGGGAGGGGTGAGAAGGGCCGCAGGGTTGGCAGGCCCAGGAGAAGCCACGTGGGGGGGCGCCAGCCGGCAGGCCTAGGAGAATCGGGTCTGGACGCCCGGCTGGCCCCGGGTCTGCGTAGCCACCAGGGGGCAGCCTCTGCCCGCTCAAGCGGCCGCAGGAGGCGGGATTCGGGGCGGGGCGGACAGTAGGTCCAGGCTGGGAAAGACGCACCCCTGCCGGCCAAGTCCGCCCGCCGCCTCCTCCCTCCAGGTGTCACCCCTGTCTCCGCTGTGCGTGGGGTCCCCGGACAGGAGTAGCCCGTGGGCCCTGGCGCCTGCGTTCACCGCCTCCCTCCTTTAGTGCTATTGTCAGGGCCTCGGGTGGGCATGGGTGAGTGGGGGAGGGTGTGTGAGTGGGGACGTTAGTGGAGGCGATGAGTGAATGCGTGAGTGGCTGTGATGAGTATGTTGGGGAGACCGCGCAAGAGCGGGCAGCCTTCCGAGGTGGAAGGGCAGGGTTCCCTGGCCTGCCTGAGCCCGGGGCCGGGGTGTACAGGTGTGTCCCTCACCGACCCTCCTGGGAGAATGCCCCTCTCAGCAGAACCCGCCAAGGTCACCTCAGCACTTATTAATTGGATTAATAAAACTGTGCATCAAGGAGGCCATTACCTGCTAATCGGGGACGACAGGGCTGGCAGGTTCTGTCCAGGAGGACGCAGTGACTCCCTCACCTCCTGCGGCCCCTCTAGACCCAAGAGGAGCCTGGGGGCTGGCAGGGGAGCCCAGCGGGGGGGCGGGCAGGAGCTGCTGCCTGCCTCTTGCACCAGGCTGGTTGGGGTGCGGGGGCTCTTCCCAAAGTCCGTACACCTCTCCACTGTAAACAGCCTGTGGTGCACTCCCTGGCAGGCCCCTCCCAGCCCCTCCCCTGCCCCTCACACCCGCCCCCCACACACACCTCCGCTGAATCGGCAGTGGGCTGACTCTAATCCAGCGCACTGCTCTGGGCCTGGCAGAACCAGCAGCTTCGCCTGCACCCCCTGGGGGCCAGGACTCCGAGGAGAGGGCAGTGGCCTTGCGCTGGCACCATGGGTGAGCCCCACCACCAACCTGCTTCAGCAAGTGTGGTTCAGGGTGCAGTCGGTGCTGCCCTGCGTGCTGGGGAGGCCTGTCCAGCCTGGGCCAGCGGGTTGTGCCCATGAGAGCTCACCTGGTCAGAGGTCTTTCCCAAATGGTAGTGGCTGCCCTGACCAGGGCGGGCTCGCGGCGTGCGTGTGTGATGATGTCAGGCCTGCCCACTGTGCTCTGAGAGTTGAGGACTCTGGCCTCTTCCCATGTGCGGTCCCCACACCAGGAGCTCCAGTCTCACTCCTGCCCTCCACCTGTGCTCTCTGTGCCCCCGGTTCCTGGGTGGCACCTTCTCAACCTTCCCCAGACCTGCCCCCCCCCCATTTTCTGGCCCAGCCACATCCCCGTTTGTCACTGTCACAGAGGGGCCGTGGGCTGTGGGCAGGGACTGCATCAGCGCATCCACACACTCCATGAATACGGGGCCGATTCTGTGAGCTGGTGTGAGTGTCCTACACGTGTGCTGTCCGGAGAGAAGGTGGCCCCAGGAGCTGCTGTCCCGCCCCCTAGTGCCCAGGCAGAGCAGGGCCTGTGGAGGATGCGGGAGAGCGCAGGGCTGAGCTCGCGGACGCGAGAGTGTACACGGGCGGGAGCCGGGGACGGCAAGCCGGTGTCGCCAGTGTGTGCTTGCGCGGCGCCCGCCGCCTGCGCACCGGTTAGCGCACCCCCGGAGAGCGCGGCGGCCCACGCAGGGCCGACGCGTTTTCCAGAGTGGTCCCCCCTGGGCCGGGAGGTCGGGGGTGAGCGCGCGCTGCGATCTTTTTTGCTTTGCCAACAGAAAACTGCGGAGAGGGGAAAAGGCAAACTCCGTTTCGCTTGGGTCAGCAGTGAGCCGGGCGCAGAGATTAATGCGAGGAGAGGCGCGCGGTGGAAGACAGCCCCGCGGAGGCGGAGGGCCAGGTGCGAGGGCCACCGGAGGGGGCGGGGGTTCCCTCTGCCTTCTGCCGCCTCCAATTCACTCTCCTCCAGGCTTGCATCCCACACACCTCACTCCCTCAACCCCAACCCCAGGTCCCCATCCCCTTTCCCGCTGCCCAGCCCAGGCCCCACCAGCGCAGTGCAGCAGCCTCAGTCCACCCTCCGTACCCCTAGATGCCAGCCCCTGGGCTGAACTCACAGGAGACAGCACTGGGGACCACAGCCAGTCTGAGAAGGGGGTGGAGTGCCCCAAAACTTCACAGCCACCTGGGGGCCAGGCAGGGTGGTCCCCAGGGCCTTGGGGTGCGTGGGAACTGGTACGTAGGAAAAGCATCAGTCCCAACCCGGAGCGCTTGGGCGGGTGAGTTCTGCCGGCCTTGGCTGAGGGGTCTGGGTGAAAGGTGGAGACCAGGCAGTGGCTGGAGAATTGGGGCATCCTCCTGCAGGAGCCTGAGCATGGGGAGCCCGAGGCAGGGACTTTGCTGGAGAAACTGCTGTCGGCTGGACTTGCTGCCAGGCTGCCGTGGGCTCAGTGGTGGCCCTGAAAGATTCGGACACCCGGAACTTGTAAATGTGCCCTTGTTTGGAAAAGGGGCCTTTGCGATGGAATTAAGTTAAGGACCTCGGAGTGAGGTCATCCTGGATACACCATTGGACCCTAAATCCATTGGCATGTGTCACTATAGGAGACAGGAGAGGAGACAGCCATGGGAAGACAGAGCAGAGATGTGAGCCCAGGAGGCCCGGAGCCCCTGCATTCTGGAAGGGACAGGAAGGGTCCCCGGAGCCGCCTTGGTCTCAGACTTCCCACCTCCAGCTCTGGCAGAGGATGTTGTTTTAAGGCTCCAGGTTTATGGCAATTTGTTAGAACAGCCACAAGAAACCAATACAGCAACCTCACACAAGTCCCTGTGTGTCTGGGCCTCCGTTTGTCCTTCTGCAAGATGGACATAATCAGACAGGGCCTCAGGTTGAACTAGAGTGCTGGGCTCAGCCTCGGCTGCCTGAGGGAAACCCCCATATTGGGAAGGCCACCCCACCCCTGGGTTCTGAGGCACGTACGTGGCTGGGCCACCGTGAGCCACAGTGGCCTGAACATCTGCATTTCAGGCCCCACTCTGCCTTACTGCCCGGCCTCCCTCAGCCCGAGGGCTTGCTGTGGCTGGCCCCCAGGAGGCTGTGTGGCTGTGGGGCATCTTACCCCCCTCTCAGACTGGCCATGGGTCCCCAGTGCTGCTTCCTGTGGGCTCAGCCCAGGGGCCAGCAGGCACCGTGGGGCATCACCCAGGGAGATGCTGGTGTGGTCTGGGGCTGGAGGGGGTCCAGTCTGGAGACCCCAAGGAAAGGCTGGGAGGGCTCTCCAGCAGGAATGCAGAGGGATAGGAGGGAGCAGGGCCATGTTACACAGAGCAGAAGCCAGAGCTGCTGGGGTGGAGAGGGAAACGGGGGGACGGGAGAGGAGGAGGAGACAGTGGTCAGCTCTGAGTCCCCCCACCAGGCCAGCCAGGCCAGCGCTGCTGAGGGTTGGGGGCTCGCTGCAGGCTGGGCGTGGGGCCCAGGAGGGCAGGGCCCCGCTGGTTGGGCAGCTGGGGCCATGCTGGGGGTAGGACCTCCCTGGCCCAAGGGGCCCCTGAGCTGGTGGGAGGACGCTGGACCAGAGGCCTGGGCCGCTGGCACCCTCTGGGGTTGGAGGCCTCACACTGCCTTGACCAGGAGGAAGGCCTAGGCAGGCCACCCTTCTGGCAGTGGGGGCTCCCTGCCTCAGTTTCCCCGTTGTCTCCAGCTGTCTCTGCCCTGGAGGCTGTGCTA